TTCTTCCGTAAATGTAGATACAAGCATCTTGTTGTCTTCCTCATTGATTTTCTTAATAGGAATTGTTCCTATGCTTGGTCTATTCCATTTCTCCTCCTTGAACTTTCCTCGAAAATAATCATGTATTGTTTGTTTTACTTCTTCTGGCTCCTCAAACCATTCCCCATCCTTCATAATGCCTTCAATCCCACATTGTTTACGCCTTTTGATGATGCACCCATGAAAGTACTTTGTATTGGCATCCCCCACTTTTAGCCATTTCTCTCTTGATTTCTGAAACAGCATTCTGTCTCTAGCCTTGCTCCACTCCATGAAGTTGTGAAAACAAATGGAATGTTTCATTGGTTGACTCTGAATCCCTTTGTCGAATAAGGAAAATTCATATCCATAAAAGAGTTAACCTCATAGGGTTATAGAATGAAACTTCATTGGCTTAGAACACTAGTTCTAGTGTGCAAGTTAAGGAATTAGGGGCTAGAATTTTCCTATTTCAATTTTCTAATACTTATGATGTTAACAAGATATTGTTGAAATCACCTTGGAATTTTGATTGCTCATTGAATATTTTGAGATAGCTTGATAAATCCTTACCTCCAAAAAATGATGATTTCTCAACCACTCATTTTTGGGTGCGATTCTTTGGACTTCCCTATGGGCTACATGGTGAGAAGGTTGGCTACCAGATTGGAAGCAATATGGGTAAGGTTTTTGAAGTGGATGATTCTTTTACTAGAGCTTTATGAGTTCGAATCCAATTTGAGGTAAATGATCCATTGAGACATTTCCATAATATCAAAATTTCTGCTACAGACACTCAACAAGCCCAAATGAAGTATGAAAGATTACCAGAGTTTTGTTTTATCTGTGGGTGTGTGGGGCATGTGGTTTTTGATTATGGGATTGATTTTCAATTGAAGGAAGTTGGAGAAAAGGTTTCTCATCCCTCTGGCACATGGTTATGTGCTGAGAATGATTATTAGGGACCATAAACTATTGAAGAGTTAGTCTATTCTAGTGGTAAGTTGCTATCCCCAAAAGTTGGTGCTCTAAATAATGAATAGAAAACTAATTCTCCATTAGAAGAAGATTCATCTACTGGAAATCAACTTCTTCATGATACTCAGCAACACTCTAAGGAACAACAGATTGTCAACACAAATTTTGGTGTTTCCAATAAGAGAATAGAAGTGGTTAATGATTTCTCGAGTTGGCGGTAATTAGATTCCATTTTAGGAGATGTACCCCGTAGCTACATAGCCAACTTGATGAAGTGCAAGGAGCAAGGTCGAAAGAAGACATGGAAATGGTTTGGAAGGACTCCAGTTCAATTACCAAGTAAGATGAAAGAGAGGAAGGGGAAGAGGAAAATGGTTCTTGAAGAGTTTGGTGATAACAAGGCTTCCAAGCTGAGACTTAATGGTTTTAGGCACTGCTTTTGCTATATAGATGGACACTTTTCATCCATTTGCTGGCTAGAAAACCTATTGCAGATGGATAAAGCATTGTATTGCTGGGAGACACTATATCGCCAAGTCTACTAATCTCTAGTGCTAGGATTGGATGGTAAAATAGATGTAATTGCCAATAACAACGGTAAATTTTAGAATAATCTTTCTATGTTATTAAATAACTCTATTGATACCTTTTTGATGTATACTAATATTTAGAGGTTTTTAGTTCTTACTTGTCATATTTGTATAAAACACTTAACTCTATATGTTAGTATTATAGATCTTTTCTAGTTCTTTTATATTTCTTGGATAGCCTATATGACTAAATATAATCTACATTGTAATTTCTTTCTAATTATTAATATAACTATACTTTCTATAAAAAAAAAAAATTAGTAGCAATTTACAAAAGGAAACAATTGCTATAGCTTTTTCTCTTTTCTTTTCTTTTCTTTTCTTTTTCAAAAAAAATGAGGGAAGAAGGGGTTGGGCTTCTAAGTCCAAATTCTTCTAAGCCCGACTAAAATGCCACACATATTGTTTTAAGCCCAAATGCAACCATGATCCATTCCGAAATGCACTACACTTATTGAGAGCACTTCGAATAACAACCATTAAGGCAAAACCCGGTCTATTAAGTTCTGCTTAATGTCGTTCAGATTTTATTTCACGGTCTTTCCTGCTCGTGAGGTATGCGAATGCTCCCTTAAATAGGTCCATTTCGTCCAGTGACTGTCAAAAATTTCACATGGAGGGCAAACCATTCGAGTTACTTAAATAGGTCCATTTCGTCCAGTGATATATATGGCCCTTGTCTCTGGACTCGCAACCATTGGACTTTTGTGTGAGTTGATTGAGTTGTGTTTATAGGCTCTTGTAATGTGACACCAAAAGTGGGGAAACTGGGAAAGTTCGACAGCAAAACCATAGTTCATACCATAGCATCCAGAAATTGACAAAAGGGAATAGTTCTCTCCGGCTAACTATCAGGTAAGGGTGAAAACTACCATATTGCAATACAAATGTAGACCATCAACATGAAATCTACCAGAAATGATTTGACAAAATAAATTACGGCTCACTCAAAGTCAACAAAGATGCATAACAAATTTAACTAGACCAAAATCCTCCTGGATTTGTGATCAGAACCCGCTTCTGAATCAATATTTGATGGGAGCAATCACATCCAGCTGTGATCCAAGCTTCTCCTCTGCAGCCTTCTCAGCTTTGACTCTGAGCTTAGCCAGTTGCTTTCTTCTCTCATATGCCACCTGGGATCTCTCCTTTCTCTTCCTTTCAAGCTCCTGGTAGGGAGAACATAATGAAAGAAAGTTAAAACGGAATCATCAATTCCAAAGTTGAACATTATAGCAAGAAAACAGAATCTCCAACGTCCGCAAAAAATAGAAAAGCAAGCAAAACACATATAATAGTAGGAAGCAGAGAAACAATTAATACACTATATTTCCAAGGGAACAAGGTGAAAAAAAAAAAGGATCAATGCTGCCAAACATAGTGCTCATGCAAACAGGCAATCTATAATAAATGTTTAGACTACCTGTCCAGAGAAAAGCAGATTACTCTATTACAGCATAGTCAAACAATTACATTACACTTACCATTAGACAAAGCAATGGCTAACACAAACAATGGAATGAACTTACTTCTGGCTTACACTATGATCATTTAGCTGAAGCGTAGAACACAACAACTTGGTTTTTCTCTAGCCAGCAGTTTGGGGCAGAAAAGGGTTTTCTAAATTTAGTATATGCATGCAGACTAAAAGGCAAAATCAATCATCCTGAACGATGAATTGATAACCGCATGACACAATTCCTAGGACAATAATTAAGTAAAGCAGCAATTTGAATATAACATTAGCAATATTTCAAAGGAAAACCAATATTCACCTTGATGGTATCATAGTGGTTCCATCCGACTTCAGATGAAAGCTTGCCCAACAAACAGTACTTGTGACCTTTTTGAAGCCTCAAAACCCTAACCATAACCAATAATAAAGGAGAAAACAGAAATAGTTAAAAGAGAAACAATAAAAAAAATTTCCAAATTTTGGGCTACAATAGGTCTCTGGAAATGAAAAACCCACTTGAGAGCATCTGGAATCACCATCCTCCTAATCTTATCATATGGAGCTGGAATGCCCTCATAGGCCTTCAAACGAGCAAGTGCTGCAGCTCCACGCTTAGTCTTGTGAGGAATCATCCTGCAACCAGAACACAGTTTAATCTCCAGAAGGAAGCAAGATCAACACACATCACACAACATAAAATAACATACAAACATCCCCTTTGAATTAAGATTGAATGACCTTGTTTACAAAAGGACCATTTGCAGTCACTTCAATCACCAGTAATGAAAACTAAATTCTCCAATTGCAATCTCAAAAAAAAAAAAAAAAAAAAA